ACAGCCCTGAGCTCCCCTGCTCCATGGTGCCTGGTGTGGGTGATGGGAACAGCCCAGCACAGCCCGTGTCCATGGCCTCCAGGGCCCTGCGACACACACAGTTCTCCTGCCCACCTTGTTTATTTTACTTATGTTTCAGTAATTTGCTGATTACCATTTTTTAACTAACCAGCAGTGATGAATCAGCAGCGCAGGAGAGGGTGGAAGCCGGCGGCCTTGGACCGTGGCTCCGAGGTCTCAGGTTCTGGGAAGGAAGACACAGGATCCCTCCAGAAGGGAAAAAAAAAACAACCGGCAGCAGCAGTTCTGGCAGGCAAGGAGGGGCCTGCACTCAACAGCTCCCAACCCGTCCTGGAACAACCATGGATGGTCACAAAGCCCTGCAGGAATGGCAGTGACCCAGGCACAAGGCGAGACCCCGGGGCAGGCAGCCCAGGCACGGAGCCATCGCTGCAGCCTGTGTGCAGGAGCAGCCCAGGGGCGGGCAGGGAGCTGGGCACGCTCCTTCTGGAGCCTCCTGACCACCCAGCCCCCCGTGCCCATGGCACTGCCACTGGCAGCACCTCCCAGGGTGGCAGAGCCAGGGCCAGTGAGCCACTCTGGCCAAGGGGACCACATGAGGACAAAGCTGGCCTGGGCATGGGCTTTTGGTGGCTCCTCTGAGTCCTGGGCAGTGGTTGGGAGCGGCTCCTGGCCCAGCCCAAGGCTGGCATTAGGGCTGAGGCTGCGGGTTTGGCCGCACTCTCGGTGGCCACAGACACCAAGTGTTATCCCGGGGCACTCCCACCCACTTCAGTGCCCTGGGAAGCAGAGATTCCAGCAGGAACAGAGGCACCAGGGGAAGGCCACACACCCTAGAAGTGGGTGGCCTAGTGAGCCCGGAGTGGTGCCCGGCAGGAAGCATCCCTGCTCAACAGAGCAATCCCCTGAGAGACCCCCAGGCGCCTTCCTCAGGAGCAGCTGTTGCTGGGAAGGAGCCGAGCAGTGAAGCAATCTGGTGTGAAGAAAAACCCATTTCCTGCAGCGAGGGCTGTTTTGCTCAATGCTTTGCAAAATGTGCTGATGCAACGGCCCTTCCCAGGTGGGACACAAACACGGGCCTGGTTGATGTGGATTCATGCCCCGCAGCTACACAAACATGGGCAGCAGGAAACAGCTGGAACAAACAGCATAGATGGCAAAATCACCGAGGGTGGCAGCTGGGGGGCTGGAGGGGCACAGTCCAGGCACTGTGCTTGGCACAAGCCACCACCTATTCTGGGATGCTGACCGAGGCAATGAGCTCACAGGAAGCTCCTGCGGGCACGGGGGAGCAGGAAGGGGCTCGGAGCAACCCACTGCTGGGGCAGCTGAGGGGTCAGGGGAGTGGGACTGGCAGCACGCTCCCCCCTGCCCCAGAGGCAGCCTGCCTGGCTGCAGCCCCCTCCACACACTGAGCCCAGGCTGGGGAGCCCTTCCCACCAAGGGCAGCAGCTGGTGCCGCTGATCAACCAGCCTGGTAAAAATCATCCTGTCCTGCCCCAGCCTCATCACTCTGTTCTCCAGGCACGAGCATTTGTGTTGTCTTCCCAGCCTGTTCCCAAAGGGCCTTAACCCAGCACTCCCCCCAAAGGTATGTGGACACGTGTCCAACGCCCGCCGCATCCATTTTTGGATTCTCTTCAGCCTCTCGCCGAGGTCTCAGTGTTTTCTTTGGCCCCGGGGTGGCTGCGGGCCGGGCAGCCGCAGCGGCAGAGCCTTATCAGAGGAGCCGAGCAGCGAGGGGGCCTGGCCTGGCTCGGGAATTCTCTGCTCCCCCTGCCCGGGGGCACACAGGGCTTTTAAAAATAGCCCGTTACCCATCTCAGCAAAGCTCCAGCTGGTCCGGCCTCCAAAGCAGAGCACATGGGGTGCCTGCGGGGGAACAAGGAGCTGTAAGAGACTTTCCATCAGCCGAGCCAGCATCAGGGGAATCTGCGCCAGCCCCCACGGCTCCCAGGGGTCACACTGATTGTCCCGGAGCCACCATCCCACGGGAAAATCCCTCAGTTGTCCCGGGCAGCAGCTGACGAAGGCACAGAGGACACCTGCTGGTCTGCACAGACCCATCCCACTTCCTCTACCTGGGGGGCAGCTTTTGCCAGGGGCTTCTCTGACTGCCCTCCCACCAGGACCCCCGAGCCTGCAGACAGAGCCGGGCTCCTCCCACAGGAGCTAAAGAGTGAGGACATCAAAGAGGGGACAATCTCCACGGGAGCCCCGTTCGTCCTCCCCAGCAGCTGCAATCACGTGGGGCTGCTTTAAAAAGAGAAAGGGAAAAAATCCCCAAGCTTTGGGTCCGGTTGGGCCTCTGGCGCGACGCCGTAAAGGAAAACAAGCCCCACGCTTTGGGTCCGGCTGGGCCTCTGGCGCTACGCCGTGGCAGCAGCAGCCGCGCCCAGCTCAGCTGCACCGCGGTGTCAGCCCGTGACAGAGACGGGCATAAACCTTTCAAGGATGGAGGTATTTAATTAGCTTGAGGAAGAGCCGGCAGACGCCCGGCGCAGCTCCGGCCACATGGAGCCTCACTGGGGCAGGACGGAGGGAGGGACGTGCTCTTGGAACACCCTGGGCGGACGGGGCCGGCCCGGCTGCCCCTCCTCGCCCCGCGGCTCCCGGCGGGGGGGCCGCCCCCCGCAGAGGGGC